ATTATAGAAAGAAATTTCCCTCTTTCTATACCGTTCGTTCAAATATACAGTGTTTCCATACAATTTCTGGGAGTGAGTCTCTTTTCCTCTAATCTCTTTGCTCTTTCATTTCAAAGAAAATAGTCTCCACTTATTCACAGGAGGATTTGTTATAAGTCTCCCCTAAAATCACAGGCAACACCATACCCAATATATACTATGTTTTTTTACACCCTTCAGGTAAAATTGAGAATTTTTGCCATTTCAGTGAAATAAAGAACTTTATGCTTTCTGTTTGGAATATTTGAATTGCTAGTACCACTACTCTTGTGCTTTGTGGCCAGTATTAAGTAAAACAAGAGTTACCTGAACACAAGCACTGTGATAGTAGCTTAGTCCATCTTACAACCAAAACAGTAACTAAGTCACCCAGAGGCAGGTAGGTAGAATATACAGAGTGGATACACTGGACAAAGGGTGATTAACATCTCAGGTTGATGAAGCAGAATGAATGAGACTTAGCACATGAATCAGGACCACATGCACTTTACAACTTATGAATTATTTATTTCTGAAATTGTTCACTAAATATTTTCAGAGCATGGTTGCTGCAGGTAACCAAAAGCAGAAGAAAGCAAAGAAACATAGGTAATGGGAAAATGACTAAACTCCAGCTTTGATTTTGAATTACATTTGTAATTATTCTTGCTAGTTCCATTACCACATTCAGAAAAGTTCCAGTTATCTTTACCTTATCGTTTCTACCTCTATTGTTCATCAAGCTTATCCCGACTGTCAATGAGCATGAAAATGTGGGTTTATTTCTCATGTCTAGCACACCAGGGCAGCATCGATACAAAAGTGAAACTTGACTGCTAAGTTTCAGCATCATTCCTAAAATCTGAGCTTCACCTAAGAGGCCAGGCTCAAGAGAGACCACATGGCCTGATTTTAGTGTTGTTCACACTGGAATTTTCCCAGGCTGTTGTTCTATACTGTTTTCTAGCCTCAGTCCTGTCTGATGCCACCTTGCCAAACTGAACTTCCGCCACTCTTCCTGTCCCTTGAACATGCCTACCTGGACCTACCTTTCAGAAGTTTAGATCAAGTTTTTACATTTTCCTGAAACCTCTTTTCTCCAAAAGCTCTTCTTTTGGCTGGCTTACTACCATTGATTTGATGGTCTTGCAGCTTTAAAGCAACAACTTATTGGGTTTTCTTAGAACTTTTCAGTGCCCCACATTTTCTTGCTTTTGTTTACTCTCTCTCTCTTTCTCTCTCTCTATATATATGAATATTCAAGAATCTGTTAACTCTTTCATGGCTGAAATCCTTAAAATTTTCACATTGTCCTAGAAGACAGTGTTCCTTTACTAAACGGTTCTAAAAAGGAAATTATTTGGCCTTACTACATGAAATTATGCACACACATACTTTGTAAGTTCATATTCGTAACTCCATGATACAATTATTAGACTTTTAATACAAAGATTATAGATTACATTTACCTCCTGCAATTATACTTTCTCATAAAAATGAAGTTATATTTAATGTGTTTTAATATAAGATCAATGCCAGGATCATTCATATGAATGGTATTTGTGTGCCCTTTGAAGAGTTAGATTAAACTCCGTCTCTGTCTCTCAGACTCTTGACAGGCTTGCACTATGTTGTCTATGTTGGCCTAGAACTCATGTTCTTCCTATCTCTGATAGTCAAGTGCTTGAATTGTAGTGGTGAGCCATTGTGCCTGGCTTTGTTGGCATCTGTTACAAAAATTCAACAAACACCATCTCATATCTACTCCATTTCATCTATAACAAATTTAAAGGATATTTCAGATTTAAAAATATATATATTTTCTTTATGTGTGTTTCCCAATATATGTATTTCCCTGAACACATCTTGCTTCCAAGACTTTTAAGGCAAATCACTTCAAACATAATAGTCAGAACATCTTAGTTTTCCAGAAATCTATCTACTCTTTTCTAGGCCAGAAAAAGCATAATTAATTCACTTTCAGGATCAATGAATGTGAAGATTCACTTCCATAGAACAAATAACACACATGCAACAATAGACATGGATTGCAATCTGCAGTATTTGCATGACTGGCTCTATAAACTCCCTTCAATATCATATCTGTGGATAATTTGCTCTTACACAATGGCATATAAAACACTTGTATACAACATATACACATCTGTTGTCTACTTCATTTTGCTTTATAATTTTGTGTCAGTACTTTGGCTTGAACTCCAGGCCTTGAGCTCTTTCTCAGCTTTTATTGGCTAATAGCTGTTGCTCCACCATTTGGGCCACACCTCCATTTATAGCTATTTTGCTAATTAATTGGAGATAAGAATCTTAGGGAATTGTCTGTCTGGAATAACTTCAATCCCAGATTCTCAGATCTTTACCCTTCTAATACCTATGATTATAGAGGTGATCCACAGGTGTCACCTTTTCCTATGTACTTTAACTTGTCTTTAGATTTCTCATGAAACTACACATGATGTAAATGTCAGGTGGTGTTAAAGGACATGAAAGGTCAAATGTAACTTCAGTAGGTTCTTAAACTCTACCAATTTACTAATCCATATTAAGTGAATAAGATAATTTTGTTGTCTTGTGTTTTTCTTAAGTGTTTACATTTGTATTGTTCTATTTTTAAGCAGACTGTAGATCTTTAAGAAAGAACGAAGGATCAGACACAAATTCATCTGAGCAATTCATTTTTAAAATACTTCTGTCTTAGGAAAGTCAGTAAATCATAGCATAACCTTGGAAACAAAGTTCCAAAAGCCAGATAAACTGTTTTCCTACCTTTATTTATTTTTATTGATTGTCATGACTAACTACAAAGTTATAGTCCCAAAGGTCTAGGAGGTAAAAACTCTCAAAGATCTCCTTAATGTAAAATAGTTCCAATATTTAAGGTTCAATATTAGTTTTTTGAGTTTGGAGCTAACAGATTTTGCTAAGTTCTTTCTCAAAGTGCTTAGTGACATGGACTTTCAGCAACATAGTGACAAATCTTTATTATTTTGGATGCTGATACAATGAATCCAGTAAGTCTTCTTCCAAAACTAGCTAGCACATATTCTTTCATGACAAACATGTGTACATCATTGATAAAGGTACAAATCTGTCTTGTATTAGACTTGACTAATTTCATTATCTGGACCTCAAGTGAAATTATATTACATGATGGATTTTCCCAGCTTGGTGGAATTGTACCTTATATACTAATCTTCTACTCTATGTTTTAATGTGTGTAATCTTTAAAGTTCATATAGATTTAACAAATGATATTTAACTTGCTATAATTTTATGCTTCTTAAAACTTTGAAAAAATCATTTCTAGGTTAGCAAAATAGCGCAATCAAAACCTTTATTTTTTTCATCAGACTCAAATAATAAACCAAATGAATAGGGAACATGGCAAGGAAAGATTTAGCATGAAACATTATTTCTCAAAAGATAATGCTAAGAATATTATGAAAATATGCATAATGGCAGAAAGTCAATGCATTTACCTTTGAAAATCAGAGGTATTCATTACCTTCAAGCTTCAGTCTAGGACCTTAAGCTTGGGGTAGATGGTTGCCACAAGACAGAGGATCTTCTGGCTTTGTAATGAAAGGAAATGGAAGAATCTCTGGAAGGAAAACATGTCATTTCTTTCTCAAGGCATATCTATTCCATAGTGTAGGTGGAACACATTAATAATTCTTTCATTGCCAGAGTACAGAACATGTCCTAAATAAAATAGTCAAAATAAATGCAGAGTCCAAAATAAGAATGGAATATTTAGTCATAATTCATTTAGTGAAAGTTGAATATGTGTCTTCTTTAGTTAGAGATTTGCAGTCACCATGTTCATATTGTATTTAGCCAGGAACTTTACCCTCACTCACCTCTAGGGCAGAATTTCGAGATGTGACATTCTCTTATGGCCATAGAATAAGAACAACAGAGGAACAGTTTCAAGACCAGAGTATGCATTCTGCATTGTCTGGAACCTCAATAAATACCATACATAAATGAACATAGCAAATCCCAACAGAGCATATGCATGACAAAATTAATTCATTTATCAGAGACAGGTACAATTTTGAATATGCATTTTCCCAGAAGGGAGCAGAAGACAACAGAGGCCACCAGCAGCTGTCAAACCTGTGAGAGTCGAACAGTGAACTACAGAATTCATGTAATGCAAGAGTTACGAATGAAAAATAAATGCTTTATCCAAAAAAGCCAGTTGGTGGCCTAACAGATATTTTCATGTTTATATATCGAATGATAAAAACCAGCTTGCATGAGGGTCATAGTATATCTACCTCGAAGTTATATCACACATACTATAAGCAATTTACAGAATTTGTCGGGTTTGCATATACAGGAATTGCTCAATGACTTAAAATACATTGAAATATAGAACACTCAAAATGTAATGATATAAACCTCCCAGGATTGACAGGGATTGGCCGTAATCAGAACTTGCCACCATCAAACAAGAACAGTACTCAAAAAAAATAAGAAAAAAAATAATCCAAGAAAAAGGGAGTTTGTGTGTTCTCTTTTTGTATGAAGTGCTTTCTTTGATTATTCCTTATGTAAAGTAGTGTTCTCCTTATTGATGAGCAGTGCTGATAATTTTGTTCTTGCCTCCAGATGGGATTTTTCTTTGATGGTAGTTTATGCTCTCTAGGCTTTTGATCTCCATTTGGTTCCTCCAGACAATGGGTCCCTTAGTAGGAACTCCGTGGTATCCATAGTGAAAATTTATTTATGCCGGTGACTTTCAGGCCAATCCCTGAACAGTCAGTCAGATGATGATTCCGTTTGCAGAAAGGAAACAAAAAGTAAATCTTGCTATTAAAAAATGTCCCTAACACTTCACACTAACTTCTCTTGAAATAAAATATCAGTGATTTGCCAAAGAAAACATTATCAACAAAGCGTGTGATAGCTTCTTCCTTTATGCTTCCGGAAGCAGATGCTCCTTGTGTAGGTAACTAGAGTACAGAGGGTGCAGAATGGTGCTTGGAGTTTAGGGTCAACTTTGCTGTCCGCTCCGTAGATTTTACAGGCGATTTGCTCTTTGCTTTAAGAAGAGAAAGTGATATTGGAAAAAAGTCAGCACTTTAGATTAAAGCAAAGCACCCTTCACAAAGCCACAAACAAGAAGCAGGACAGAAAGTCCATGGCTTGTAGCTATCCTCGCACCTGCGGAAGAAGTTATAAGATATTCGCTCATCTTGAAGATTTCCAATGCTCCTTATTAGGCTGTTTTAAACACATACATATATTTATATATATTTAATTAGCTTGCCAGCTTGGCTCTGGTGCTCATGAATGTCTTGGCATGCACTGTAAATAACAACACATACAAAGTATTTCAGTCCCAGGAAGCTGGTGGTGTTTGCTTTCAAACAATGCCATCCCATAGTTGGGAACTCGGAAAGGAACAAACCCAGATGCTTTTCCTCAAAGAATCCTTGAGAGTCAACCCCTATATAACTGTATAGATCATGCCCTATTCAGTGGTTTCTATACTGGTACCTAAACACCACAGGCCCTGCAATCAGCATAAAATCTGAGGAAACCCTGAGACTTCAGACTTCTCAGAGGTGTGGAAAGTGTTTGAGGTGGGTAAGTATAGGTATGTCTCACCATGTCCTTTCAGTGTGAGATTTTTCTCAGCATTTCGTCCTTCAGATCTCAGGACGAATTGGTGCCATGAAGAATTGGAAATTCTTGGAAGAGCTCCAAGACTATTGAAAAGGGGGATTAAATGGTATTTGTCCATTTCTTTTGCTTCATCTATGTATTCAGCTTATAGCTATGAATGACATATTTAGTACCTTATTAGGAAAATTACTAAAATGCGATGAAGCCCAAGACATTTTTCTTTTTCCTGTTTTTTTCTTTTTAAATTGGAGATTGGTTATATAGATTTGAAAGAAAATAAAGATGGGAAAAGTCAATTGTGTCAATATTTCAACCAAACTATATTTGGCTTCATAGTGAAAACAATAACAAAAATAGCAGCAGAACCAGGCATAGTTGCTCACTCCTGTAATCCCAGTGCTCAGAAGGCTGAGAAAGGCAGATCACAAGTTTTAGGGCAGCCTTGGCTTTCCTAGTGAGACCCTGTGCCAAACAAATCAAATTTAAAGTGCTGAGACAGAATATTTACCAATCAAAAAGCCACTATACAGTAAATAATTGGGGCTTTACAATGGGCATTTATTTAGTGGATTCACATGGCTATTTTCTGGTAAATTTCTATTGGGTTGTATCGTTGGTTTGTCTTATTGGTAAGGGAGCTGTTTATGTAACACAGTATTTCTTCCTGGAGGCCTAAGGACTGGAGACTTTGAAGCCAGTGAGAATCTCTGAGGATTCTCCCATATTCAAGCTGGTGACAAGCTTCAGATACACAAATACCCTTCTGTCCACATGCAGCAATCATGCAAAGAAAACAAAACATGACCTATTCAGAACCATTAGCTATCTATAACTGTATTTGTGTTAGCTTTTGAAGAGGGTTTCTTTGGCAAGGATTGATTTGATTTGGTGTAAAAATAAACACAAAAACACAGTGACAAAGAAATTTTTGCATGGCTCCCTAAATAGCCATGGAAGTTAGCTTAATACAAAATGTGTAGCAAGGAAGTTAAAACACAATGCTGAAGGCAGCAATGCTCGGTCAGATATATTTTGTGAAATGGCAGTTTCCTTCCCATTGTGAGCATAATAGATGAGCTCTAATTTGCTGTGATTGCATTGTGTTTTATCTTGTCTCTTTCCTAGTTAATTGGTCAACATTTCTTAGGACATAAACCTTGTAGTATATTAAGGAAGCAGGTACTTCCATTTGGCTCAACATTTCCCATCATATGTCTAGCACGTGCAAGTTAAAGCATATTTGACAGTACGTGTTATACTGTTGAGAGTATTTTAAGGTCACTGAAAGTTTGAGCAGCATTGAGAAATACAATCAACCATACAACATAATATACCCTCCAAGATTACAATCTTTAATCCATCCTAGCATGCATCTACTAGCATATTTTAAATAAATGTAATCTATTCTGCAAGACAATCATAATTTTTTGTAACTAATCATAAATTGTAAAGCTACTCTATCTCCTCATCAAATCACCAGATCTTTTTCACATCTTTCAGTTTTGTATTTGTGTCTTGAGGGAAGAGTCATATTTCTTCCACATTGAAGTCTCCAAAACTTTTAGACAACAGTCAGATCTCACAACCTAAAATGCTATAATTTACCCTTTAACAAGTAATTACCATTACCATTGTCACTCAGATTTGTATTATTTACATACAATGTTACTGCTTACCAAATGTCCTATGGTCTATTAAATAGAGATAATAAAATTCTTTTTTGTGTGAAGAGAAAACTTAGGCACTCCTCATGCTCGAATCTCATTTTATACACGTAGAAACATTTCATTTTTGTGAGATAATTAGAGGCAAGATTGCTACCAGGTGTCCTGAGTTCTAATTTCTCCCGTTGCCACACAAATTGGAGATCCCAAAGAACATACTGATTTCTGCTTTCTAAAATGTGTAATAACTGTGTAATTTCATATTAGGAAGTCAGACTTTGCCATCGAGTAGGTTAACCTGTTTGATTTTTATCTGGTTTCACTTATTCTAAGTCAGGGCCATATAGTCAATCCACTGCTCCCCTAATCATCCATGTAAGCAACCACTGTTCTCTGATAACCTTAAATCCATTTGTGCCATCTGTCCAAGGGGTGGGCTTTCTCTTCTGTGAATGCCACAAGTATATTTTGGGTGTCTCCTCTTGGGGCCTTGACCTGGATTATTTTCTTTGTACTTTGTTAACATTGTGTTTTATCTCATCAATTACACAATCAGCTCATGAAAAGCAAAGACTGAATTTTCATAAGATCTTTTAAAACTAATTTATCAAAAACAAGGCTTTGAGTGTTTTAATCCCCTTCCCCTGCCCCCACAGAAAGTACCCTGTGAAGATAAAAGGGAGATGCAATTACCTTGATTAGCTGGGGGAAATGGGCAGAGAGCTTGCCTACACGGAGAGTAACCAAAAGACTTTTCATAGACTTAGAAGATCACGTTATGATGTTCCTCAGCTTGTCGTGAATCATGGTGAGGCTTGCTTGATTTTGTGTGTCTGACTTTCTTGTGTGTCATTGGAATATTCTGCCTGCCTTGGGCAAGGCAGAGGAGATACTTTCTCCATTGTGTAAAGGGAAGAGTCTAAGAAGTCTTAGAAGTGTGAGTAGGGTAGAATCTCAACCCCTCCTTCCATGACTGGAGATAGCATCACTTCCTCTGCTGTGCAAACAAGTAGGCATGTCTCAGGAGGGTGAATAATAAAAATCTGACCAAACAACAATTGGAAAAAGCCTCTAAGATGTGATCTCCACTGCCATCATTACTTCAAAAAATAACACAAATTTTGCTTTCATTTTCTTTTTTTTGGTCGGTTGTGGCACTTGTCCCTGAGCTCTTTTGGTGAAGACTAGCGGGTCTACCACTTTAAGCCACAGCTCCACTTCTAGTTTTTGAGTGGTTAATTGAAAAGAAGAATCTCAAGAGGACTTTTCTACCCAGGGTTGGCTTCAAAATGCAATCCTCAGATTTCAGCCTCCTGAGTAGCTAGGATTACAGGCGTGAGCCACTGGCGCCCACCTACTTACTTCTTAGTCAGGAGGCTTCCAAGGGTGTAACCACTTTGCACAACTAACTTAGAGCTTATCAAAATGAAAACCACAAAGCTGGAATATGTGTAATCAGGGAAGGAGTGTGGGGAGGAGGTAGACACTTGGAGAGAGGAAGGGTGAATGGGTACAGTCATCACATTCAATTGTAGATATGTGAAAATGGAACCAGGTACATTGTCCTGAACTTCCCAGACTTGAAAGTCTGCCACAACAGTTCCTAGAACTTCCCTCCTTCTGCTCCTTGCCCCTCTCCTTGCCTGTTGGATTTCAGCCTTAGCTCTCTTTCAGTACTTCTCATTTCAGAGTTTCACCTGTGCTGCCAGGAAGACAGTGCATGTACTGAACAATCTTTCTTCCCTTGTCTTTCTCACATTATCTCTGGAATGTCTAAATCTGCTATGCACAGGCATTATGCAAGAGATACTCGGTGTACATCATCTTAGCTCCCTCAACCACCCTGGAGAGAAATTCTTCATATCAGGAATCTGTAAGTCAGTGACAGGAAGTCATTCTCCCAGCCTGCATGGAAAACACGGAATGGAGCAAAGACATAGAAATGACACAGCATGGAAGCATGGACCTGCTTCTTTCTGAAGTGCAAAGCAACACTGCTGTTCAACTTCCTCCTGTTAAGTTTGTTTGTTTGTTTGTTCGGAATGTATACAAATATTTGCAGAGAAAAATGTGTTGGATAAAAGGTGCCTCAGGGAAAAACTTTACAGAAAATTTAACTTTTTGCCAATTCTGAGCTGAATAAATACTGGATATGAAACCTAGTTTTCCTAAGAGCTAATAAATTAATGAAGTTTGTTTTGCTTCCCATAATGTACCAAATGCTTAATTATATAACAACATCTTGAACTTTTCCAATTATAGATTTTTACAGCTTACCAACTGTGCTGAAGACATTTAAATATTTGACTAATACCTAGCTCCATTATAGTTCCGACTTGCCCTCTTCTTTCTAAGAATTTCTCTTGTCCAAGCTTTGAATTGAGTCTGATAGCCAGCCTGGGACCAAGAAAAGTTGCTGGCGACTCACTAATAGCATCATGAGTTATGAGATGGGGAGTCTGCAAAGCAAAGTTCTTGGTAATTAGGAAAACTCAGTAAAGATCATGAGTATTTAACCCAAATACTCTACCTGAACAGTTTATCTCCTGTCAATTTTACTTGCAGTCACTTTCTATTGGCTTTGAATACTTTCTGATGCATCCCCTTTACTATGTGAGCTCAACTTTACTTGGGTTAGATATGGCAACTACTACTGACTTGTGCATCTCTTTGCAAGGAAATACACAGGAACCATGCTTTCGACATGCCTCTTGCAAACCTTTCTCTTTCTTATTATCTGAGCACCCAG